ACTCACGAAGAAGGGAGTGGAAACGCTCCGAAGTATCTTGCTTGACATACACCGGGCTAATGATGCCTGTGTATGTACCGACTCCCTGTACTGTAAGAGTGGTGGTGGTGTCTATCAGCCGTCGATGTTTGATGTCGACTAATAGTCCATAGTTATCAAGGAAATCGGCTCCCAAGATAGGTGTAGGTATGTCTGTGACAACAAAAATCCAACGAAAAACTCGCCGCAACCCAAGATCAAGAGTGAAAGATCTCTGGCCAAAAGTCTTAATGGGTGACTTGTTAACAGCTTGAAGTTGGATATTTGTTGCACTTACCATTGCCGATTTTCCTAACATGGAATGAGGGAAAATACTAACTTCGGCCCCAGTATCAACAAGAAAACGCGTGCCTGATTGTTTATCATGAACAAAGAAAAGGCGACTGGGTTGAATGGTGCCAAGTGAATTAGTCGCCGCTATTCCTTGGCGGGCCCGTTTCCCTGGACATATCCAGGGCGGCTTTGTCCTGCTGAGTATGAACAAGGACTTATGCACTTCTGGGCTCGTTTGCCATGCTTCCAGTGGTACCAACATTCAGCCCCAGCATGTTGTTGATGCCGACTCGGGCTACGGGAAGCTGATTGGCGAGGGCCGGAATTCTTCGGGCCTCGCTGTAGACTGCGACTTCTGCGGTTCTCCTGTATAGAACAAGTCAAGGCTTGCACCTGAGCAGCCAGTTGAGCAACCTGGGTAGAAAGTCGATGTACTTCACCAGAGTCATTGGGAGTAGCGCAAGCGTAAGTCTGCGCTGGCACTTCTTTAGGTAAGACATGAGAAATAGTAGGCGGACCAGCAACTTCAACAATTTTGTCGGCTAATGCCGCTAGCGCAACCAAGCTGACATCATCGCTTGTGGAAGCGAGAATCAACTGTACATTGGTTGGCAGGCGTTGCAAAAATAATTGCTTAAGTATACTAGTTTCCAAAGTATTAGAGCCTAATAATTGTTGCATTCTCCTAAGGAGTTGGGAGGGCGACCTATCGCCTAACTCTTCACTCGTCAGCAATTTGTTCAGACGCTTTCGCTCAGAGACAGAAGTTCGCTTAACCAGTGCTGCTTTTAGTATCTTGTACGGCTCTGTTTGGGGAGGGGCAATTAAAATATCGCGCACCTCTAGAGCTACCTCTGGTTGTAATGAGGCGACAACATAAGCAAACTTTGTAGACTCAACTGAGACACCTCTAGTTTGAAACTGAGCCTCAACCTGAGCAAACCAAATATCAGGATCATGTGCCCAAAATGGTGGAAGCTTTAAACTAACATATGAGACTTGAGGGGATGGCTCAGAAGCCTCACTAGGTAATACATTGCTATCAGTATCAGGCATGATAATGACGATGACAAGGTAGATTAGATCAACAGAAGAAAAAAAATCTGGATCACGTCGGGGTCACCAGTTTAGGGAATTTAATCACCTAAATAAAAGAAATAGAAATAGATTTCTTTCCTACCTTGTCTCGTAGAAACACCTGTTGAGTACAGATACTTGGAACATATATTATATCACAAGTAGTAGTTCAAATATTGCACAGCACCCGTAGAAAGAATATGTAAGACCATGTACAAAGTAATGACGCTTCTTCGCGAATTAAGTAAAGAAGAAGAAACTTATAATCTCTATAAAGTAATAAGGCCTCAGAACCGAGTAGAGAAACAAGCGAAGAAATAGGACAAGAATTAAGATGAAGCTGAATTAGCTTTGCTGTTGATCGATTGACTCTCTAGAATAGGTGTGCTCTATACAGCTCAGGAGAAGTGATGAAAATAGGTGTGGCAAATAAAGCAAGCAAGTGTAATGTCCCTGTACAGTATAAGCTATACCAGTACATTAGGTGGTTGCACATCCCAACCCATAGGGTATGGAATGTACTTGCCAGAGTAAGTATTTGTGGCACTCTAGTAATGCAACAGGTGTCACTAAAGAAATCAGTAACAATGGAATAAAAGGCTAGACTTCAAGCCACACAATAAAGACAAGACAATAATATTTACAAATGCAAAGTTCTCCAAAGGTCAAGTCACTACAAATTTAATGAAACGCCAAAACTTCCGCGATTCGCGCGGTAGGGGGAGAACTGAATTCAGATAAGGATTAAGAGTCGAGAACAGTACACCGAATTGTCTGCTTTTCTCATAATTTAATGAAACGTCAAAGCTTCCGCGCTGTGCGGGAGGGGGAGAAACTGAATTCAGACTAGGATTAACAGTTGAGAACGGTACAGCAAATCGTCTTCTTTTTATAGTAATTTAATGAAACGTCAAAGCTTTCGCGCTTCGCGCGGAAGGGGGGGGGTGGAACTTCATTCAGACAAGGATTAACAGTCGAGAACGGTACAATAAATCGTCTTCTTTTCCTAATAATTTAAGTAACGTTTAAGCTTCCGCGCTTATATTTAAACGTCTTTGCCTATCACCCACCCCCCCCCCCTAATGAGCGCCTTTAAGTGATTTGCTTGCTCTCTACCACCACTCCCTAAAATAAGATCCTAGCTTCGCGCCTGCATTAAAATATAGCTATGATGCTGACTAAGTTGACGAAATAATTCATATATTTATGTCGTCGAGAAAAATGACCATTTGCGCATACTCAAGTACTATAGATAGTCCATAGGAAAAATAATTTAGCCTTCGGGCCCGGGTTTACATTGTTAAATTTGTAGATATTGGACATTTAATTTTGTCGGTAATTGGTGACTAGTTTTGTCGGTAATCGTTGGCCTCTACACCCGCCCCCCCCCCTCCCCCCCCCCCCCCCCCTGCCACTGAAAAAGGTCTAGCGACGCCCCTGGACACACATATATTTGTACTCACACAATAACATTGAAATACGAATGAATACCTTAAATTTGGAGTTACCAAAAGTTAGTGTCCACATGGTTTATGCAATAGGCTACGTTATCTCATTTTATCACAACCACCCCAATGCACACCGAGCTGAAGGCATTTTTTTTTATATAGCAGATGTTTCTACATTTATTGATGAAACAAATACAAAATATTCAAATAACAATGATAATAATAATAATAATAATAATGTAACTTATACCGCGCCAAATCCACTCTGTGGAGTGCTCAAGGCGCGTGTAAACAGGAAAAACGATCAAGACTTGAAAAGGAAAGTTTTGAGATGAGTTTTGAAAGAATCAGAAGAAAAACATTTTTTGATGTCTTCAGGAAGGCCATTCCATAATTTAGGACTAGAGTATGCAAATGATCTTTCCCCCAAAGTTTTGGTAATTTTGGGGGTCACAAGAAAATTGGAAGTGGATGAGCGTAGAGGTCCTGCAGGATATAGCATGTTATACACTTACTGTTTACATAAAATGTGACAATTGAAAATAGTAAGCACCATTTATTCTTTCGTGACCTCCCTGGGTGGTGTAAGCTAGGGACAGAAAAGACGTGCTCAACTCAGAATGTTAAAGGGCAGGTACAAGCCGATTTGCTTTGTGACGTACGGGACATTCAGAGACTTAAAACAAGAAATAACAATGGATGACATTATTATGGCTTTTTTTTGGTATGAGTCTGTGGCTATTATGGGCTAGTTCATTTGTGGAAAGTTTTAGTTCTGACCAATTCATAAATTAATTTTTAATTTAATTAATGTGCTGTGTGACGTACGGGACCAGAGAATTTCTGACTTTTTCAAAAATAAGTTCATCATAAAAGTTCTCTGAATTTATTAAGTTGAATTTATTAAGTTATGAGATTTATAGTAATGATATCTTAATTCATTAAGCATTATTCAATTATTCAAGCATTAATCACAACTATTACCATATTTTTCTAACCTTTTGTTGTTATGTCATATACCAAAACATAAATGTGTGTATGTGACGTACGGGACATGTGACGTACGGGACAACTTTTCCCTATGGGAAATTGCATTGAAATGAAGAATTTTCGTCAAAATTTGTTAAATATGAACAATTTTAACTTAAATCAGTGACAATTAGAGTGTTTTAGAACCCAATTAGACCCTCTGACCATCCTCTGTGTTAATTTACTGGGTAAATCAATACAAATATTACTTTAACAAAGAAAACAAATTGAACTTCTCTTATCTGACTGTCAACTATTAGGTATTCCTTTAATTTCCCCTTAAAATGAGCATAGTTTTCTATTTCCTTTACACCATTGGGAAGGGAATTCCAATGTTTTATGGCATATAGTTTCAAATTTACATTGTATGAAAAGACAATGAGCCAACCGGCATCGTGGCAAAGCAAAAACAAAAAAGCAACCAAAAAAAGTCATTCAATACTACAGCAACCTTCGCGTTGCATTGACCACACCTGAATGCGAGTAGGGCGTGGTCGTGGGCGTGGCAGGGGTACTGACCTGTGCCTTTTAGTATTCACCGTCAATCGTCAATCGGAAGAATGGCAGGTTAAATGTCTACCCGATGTCAACAAACATTCATTCAGAGGTAGGGTCTACGAAACAGACTACGAATACCAGCAGGGCGTGGTCGTGGGCGCGGCAGGGTTACCTGTACATTTCATAGTATTTACCGTCGGGTGAATGACGAGTCAATGTCAACAAACATTCTCTTGGAGTCGGGCTAACTCGTACCAGGGGACAACTCGGCCCAGGTACAAAAACGGTCAGTTTTTGCATGTTTAGGTTTGGGGTTAGGTTTAGGGTTAGGGTTAGGGTTAGGGTTAGAGTTAGGGTTAGAGTTAGGGTTAGAGTTAGGGTAAAATGACAAAAAATGACCGTTTTTGCAGCTGGGCCGAGTTGTCCCCTGGTCCGAGTCCCCGAGTTAGCCCGGATCCGTTCAGAGGTAGGGTCTACGAAGGCAGACTACGAACAGTACTACGCTCTACGCTTATGTTATTGTAAATACAAGCTACCACGTGGCAAGAGAATGTACGTACGGGCGTGTGTATGCGGTGCGAGAGATCGAGAGTGGACTGCACGGTCTATCTGATCTGCATGCACTGCGAGCGCGCATATGAATACTGGTGGTATGGTATTCATGGTTGCATCAGATTCAAATTGTGTACGATCCCTCCAGATGCCGGTCACTTCTTACAAAATCGTGACACTTTCTCTCGTTTTCTTCATTGAATTTCCATCTCTGTTGAGGCCTGAATGAAGCTGAAGGCATTCTAGTTTATTTCTCATCATCACTGCTACATCGAGGCACTTTGATTTCCCGATTCATCTCCTGTATCGTCTTTTCCGATCAGACAGGCCAGGCACAAACGTGAACGGACTCGGGTGTTCTCTGCAGGTTTGATGAGCCTAAAGTTTGCCTTATTTCTCATCTGCAAAGCACAAAGTAGTGTGGTCCCAAAATTAGAATTGGCTATCTCACTCTCATCTTATTTGCTGTTGGCTTTGAAAAGGTGAGTTTCGAACATCAGAATTAAGCGTTTAACGATTTCTGCTATCTGTTTTCTGTCTGATATTGATATATGTCGTTGTCAATCGACTCTCGATTCGATTGGTCCAAAATCATTTAAAGAAATTAAGAATAAGATAAACAATAAGACTAGAGTCTAGACTAATAAGGTAAGGCTAATGAATCTGAATGTCGATTTGCTAATATCTTTGAATACAATACTTGAATAGTGAATAGTTTTATATTTATTATGAAGAGTATAATTTCTTATTTGGAGTGCCACTCTATTTAAATGTCAGAATGGGGACAACCATATTCTTAATAGTCTACATAGAGTCTAGATCTAGACTAGACTTGTTTTGTACTCAAAATATTCATAAATTTCTATTTCTTCTGTCTCAGTGTCTTTGTGTAGACCTACATGTATGTGTATTGGGTTTTTATAGACGTGTACGTGTATTAATCAAATATGTCTGGGGACCAACCTTTAAACGTCACCATCCGAAAGACGTGACTTAGTTTCGAACCTGCATCCTCGGCTGAATCAGTTTGTAAATTCCATTGTTAGCTGGATTACAGGCGCACACCACAACGCCCAGTCCTTAAAGTTTAAGATGGAATTAATTATACTGCCCAATGAATATGATACCTGTAGTACTGTAGGCTGATGCATTTGCTAGAAATTACATATGGCCCATGGGGTATAGACTAGTATGAGTATTTTTCATAAACAATCGAGGCAAAATGAAGGCATAGATCTAGACATCGATTGAAATTTTGTGTATGGCTCAAATTTTCCCCATCCCAGTATAGCTTGGAAAAGCTGCTTCAGGTTTATATCATCGAGAATGAGCAAAATGAAATTTCAAAATTTGAACATTTCACCATCTTTCATCTAGATCTACACTGTAAAATAAAGTTAAACAACTTTACTTATCCTTTTTCAGGTGAATTTTTTTATTAATTTAAATTTTTGGAGGATTTAATTCAAAACATCGTTATGTCAGCCTCGACTTCTTTTCCAGTCAGATCATAAAATTAGAGTCTATGCTTTCAATCTAAGTAGTGTGTGCATCTCTTAGTTATGTAACAATTATTGATGTTTAGGCTAAAGATGCATTGACTTGATGGTAGAACCACATGCACCTTCACTTGATGTGTATACCATCCCACTCACTCACTGTTTGTGTTTTTATACTGTTTTCACACTGGCAATATTTTGCTTAACCCCATACTATAGGTGGGGTTAAGGGGGGGTCTTAGCCCCACCTATAGTACGGGGTTAAGCCTATTCCACTTTCTGTTCAGACTGGTTTTTACCAAAGTGGGCTAAAGTTGGCTAACCCCACCTATAGTACGGGGTTAACTAACCCTGCAAAATAGCAGGGCTAACTCCGCAATTGTGGTGCTAAGCAAATGAATGAGAACAGAAACGAAAAATAGTCCGGTACTACGCAATGGAGCGTATCACAGCTGGCCAGATGCGAAGTATGTCCAATCATAACATTCACGATATCCGGGGTTAACTAAATGCAGTGAGAACAGCGGAATTTTCTTATTCCGGAATAGGCACTAGTACGGGACTAAAAACAGCGTGTGTGAAAAGCCAAAAAAAATAGTCCGGGGTTAAGGATAGTACGGGGCTAAGCAAAGTACGGGGTTAAGCAAAACCAGTGTGAAAAGAGTATTAGTGTGCCTACAGTGTTAGCACCTCCAAAACTAGACAGAAATAACCATACACAAATGTATGGTGGCCCTGAAGGGACATCGCGAATAGACTAAATCGTGAAAAATATGCGATAAAATTCACGATATCGTCAATTTTATCGCATATTGTTCACGAAGAAATTCACGAAATTGACGATATCGTGAACTTTATCGTGAACTTTTCACGATGAAATTGACGATATCGTGAATTTTATCGTGAAAAGTTCACGATATAAAGTTCACGATATCGTCAATTTTATCGTGTACTCTATCGTGTACTCTCCTGACGGGCGCTTCGTAAACAAAACCAGCCCCAGCTGGGGGAGACAGAGAGAAGGAAAAAAGGGAAAGGGAAAGAGAAGATAAAAGGAAAGAAAGAATAATAAGAAGAAAAGAGGGAAACGGGGGGGGGGGGGGGGGGGGGGGGGGGCGAAGGGCTCTTGCCTCCTCCTCACTCCCCCCCCCCCCCCCCCCCGCCAAAAAATAAATAAGGAGAGAGAGAAGGGAAAGGGAAAGGGAAAGAAAATATAAAAGGAAAGAAAGAAGAGGAAGAAGGAAAGAGGGAAACGGGGGAAGGGCGAAAGGCTCTTACCTCCCCCCCCCCCCCCCCCCCGCCAAAAAAATAAATAAGAGAGAGAGAGAGAGAGAGAAGGGAAAGGGAAAGAAAGAAGAGGAATAAGAGGGAAACAGGGGAAGGGCGAAGGGCTCTTGCCTCCTCCCCCCCCCCCCCGCCAAAAATAAATAAGAGAGAGAAGGGAAAGGGAAAGAAAATATAAAAGGAAAGAAAGAAGAGGAATAAGAAGGAAAGAGGGAAACGGGGGAAGGGCGAAGGGCTTTTGCCTCCTCCCTCCCCACCCCCGCCAAAAAAATAAATAAGAGATAGAGAGAGAAGGGAAAGGGAAAGGGAAAGAGAAGATAAAAGGAAAGAAAGAAGAGGAAGAAGAAGAAGAAAAGAGGGAAACGGGGGCGAAGGGCTCTTGCATCCCCCCGCCCAAAAAATAAATAAGAGAGAGAGAGAGAGAGAGAGAAGGGAAAGGGAAAGAGAATAAAAAAGGAAAGGAAGAAGAATAAGAAGAAAAGAGGGGCTCTTGCCTCCTCCCCCCCTCCCGCGCCGACAAATAAATAGGAGAGAGAGAGATAGATAGAGAGAAGGGAAAGGGAAAGGGAAAGAAAATATAAAAGGAAAGAAAGAAGAAGAAGACTCTCTCTCTCTCTGATTTATTTTTTGGCGGGGGCGGGGGGGGGGGAGGGGGGGGGCAAGAGTCCTTCGTCCTTCCCCCGTTTTCCTCTTTTCTTCTTCTTCCTCTTCTTTCTTTCCTTTTATCTTCTCTTTCCCTTTCCCTTTCCTTTCTCTCTCTCTCTCTGATTTATTTTTTGGCGGGGAGGGGGGGGGGGGGAGTGAGGAGGAGGCAAGAGCCCTTCGCCCCCCCCCCCCCCCCCCCGTTTCCCTCTTTTCTTCTTATTATTCTTTCTTTCCTTTTATCTTCTCTTTCCCTTTCCCTTTTTTCCTTCTCTCTGTCTCCCCCAGCTAGGGCTGGTTTTGTTTACGAAGCGCCCGTCAGGAGAGTACACGATAGAGTACACGATAAAATTGACGATATCGTGAACTTTACAATACCGCCCAGAAGTTATTGGGCATGCGGGATCGTGTTTCACGATAGGAGGTTAGCGTGATTGTAGACGGGTTTTATCGTGTTTTTATCGTTAGAAACATCGTGATTTGTATTCATCTCTATCATGATTTTTTTTTCCTCAACTTGATCAACTCGCTAAATCCCCGATGCATCACGATAGAACTGCGCACAGCATGCTCTATTTATACGCTTGCTGAGCCTGCGCATCCTCAAACATACCGATGCGCGCTTGCCACTGACGTCACAATCACTTGATTATTACATCACAAAAGCGTGAATGAATGCTCTTTTCATTCCATGCATAAATACACGAGACAATGTGCTACGGGGAATGTTTGGGATTGCGCATGCGGAGAGAAAAGTTATCCGATGAGAGAAGTGCAGAAACCAAGAACCAGGTGTCTAATTGGCCTTTCCCACGATACGACATCTTTTTTTTATTTGAGGGGGGAGGAATGTTTGGGATAGCTCATATCATGGCAGAGGAGATCCGAGAGTATATCAAGAGTTAGACCGAAAGCTTCAGTCTCTAATATCGACGGCTATTCCGCTTATGTTTAATCCGATAAAGACTTGTCGTTAACATTATTTGTTGTGCAGCCATCTTGATTTGAGTTAATGAATGCTCTTTTTTTTTTCCGGACGTCCGATACCTACATGTGCGTACAAGTCAGCACGGCTTGACCCGGTGATATTTTGATATTCATAAACGCGTGATCTAATTCGCCTAAATTTCGCCATTGCAATTACTTGATTAAAATTGTAAGAATTTTAAGAAATATACATACTTTCTTATGTCCGATTTATTGATCGGAAAATTAGATCTAAATAAGGAAAAACGGGAAGAAAAGAAAGGCTCACCCCCCCCCCCCCCCCCCCCCCCGTCGTGCGAGCCGTAAGGGTCACCGTCTGTGTATGAGGAATGTTGACAAATGTAAGATTTATCAAAGAGTAATGACCCATATCAGACGGTTATTTCTGTCTAATCGAGAGTATTCATCATTACATGTACATATCAGATCTAATATGTGGGTAGAATCTTAGAATTTATGGATAAATGCAGCTGTTATTTCTAGAAGAATTATGTGTATGTTGTGAGATTTTCAGGAAGGCGTGAATAATTAAGGGAAGAGGAGAGAAGAGGCGGAGGGGTACCGTTACCGTTAGCGTGACAGGGACAGAAAAGAAAGAGGGAAGGGAGTGAAGAGTGAAATATATCAGACAAAGATAATTAAGAGAGATAGAGAATTGAAAATTAACAGAATAAATAAAGGATCCGTAACTCCAAATAATAAAAAAAATATTATTATTTTATTCATTCATAATACCAATCGGTTGACCCTGTCCCTACACATTACAAATTTTGCCACAGACCGCAAACGGCATTTTCATAAACCAGTATTATCAAAAACAAAAGCAACGCGATCTCGATCAGCCAATGTACCTCGTGGTCCACAAAGTAGTTGAAATTTGATATGTAGTGCGCGCGCTCAGGGATTCCCGGAATTGGAAAACCCCTCGATCTCGATCTCCATTTTATGACATTCAGTTTGCATGCAAGCTAGATACATGTACACATACCTGGGTTGGCAAGCTCCCGTAATCAAAATTGGAGTAATACATAAGGAAATAACAAAGAAATACACGAGGATTGAGGACAAAA